TTTATATTGCACCACTACTCACTCCTTGTTTACTGTAAGGAGATGGGGAGCATGTTGAAATACTATATTGTGCCATCTTTATTTAAGATATCAGGGGTAGCGTAATCTGATTTATATTTTTTTTTAAGATTGCTGAGGATCAGCCACTGTCTCGACTGCGTGCCCAACAAGACTGCGCAGATTTATGGGCGAGGAAACAAACCACGCTTGTGGGTCATACGGATGCGCAGAACCGCCAAGTAGCACATCTCGATAGGTAGCATAAATCGACAGAACACCGGTTCTGCTGGAGCTATGGTGAGCAGCTGTTGGGGCGGCTGTGGCTCAGGAGTTAGAGCGTTAATCGGAAGGTCGGCAGTTCAATCCCCGGCTGCTCCGGGCTACATGTCGAAGTATCCTTGGGCAAGATACTGAACCCCGAATTGCCTCTCAGTGTATGAATAAGTGTGAATGTTAGTTTCTGTTTGAGCACTTAGGTTCAGTGAATGAATGTGTGTGAATGGTGAATGCAGATGTAGTGTAAAAGCGCTTTGAGTGATCGAAAAGACTAGAAAGGCGCCATACAAGTACGGAGCATTTACATTTACAGCTGTGCTTATCATTTATGCTAGCGTGCCACAAATGATGATTAAACCAGAGGAAACTTGTGAATAAACGTGAGCTGAACACGTATCTAACACAGTTGCAGGTCCTCGTTGTTGACAGTCATGTATTGTTAGATTTATTGAAGGGCAGCGTTTCCTCTACGTCACTGTATCATAGAGCCAGAAGTGTTAGGAAATCGTTTCTGTAGCTTTGGATAGAATTAACAGAGTGCAGGTAATAAATAGATGTAGAAAAAAGATTATATTATAATACTGCATAAATAAATATATATAATTGGTTGCCTATGTATGAGAGCACTGTTAATCATTATTATGATGATACACATTCTGTGTAAAGAACACGGGGGAAGCCGGGGATTGAACCATCGACCTTCCAGTTAGTGGACGACCACTCTACCACCTGAGCCACAGCCCCCCTGTTTTGTGCAAAACAGCCCAATATTTCCAATGGAAATGAAAGAAAAGTTCTAAATTGATTATGTATAAGTCAAACCTTTATTATCTAGATTAATGTAATTTCTAAAGTGATTCCAGTTGATATCAAATGTTCAGCAGTTTGCTTTATGGTAATAAACACACAGAAAATATAGTTGTTAAACTGTTAAGACTAAGAGAAAGTGACAGATGCAGAGAGTATAAACAGAAGAAGAGTAGTAGCAGAATAGCAATCTTGCATCACCCAGGCAGCAGCAGTGACTCAAAAAAAGGACTTTTATGGAAGTCCTAGCTGTAATTATGTCAGTGTTTTTTGGATCACATCCCTTTGGACTCGCTGCTCGCCTCCGCCCTCCCTCCCTCGGGTTTGCCATCGCTCTCTCTGCTTTGACTGGTTTTGTGCAGTGAGTGTAAAAACAGCCAGTGAAGTCTAGCACCCATTTTAAAACAACTGTCGAGCCGTGTTCCCACAGAGAAATGGCTGACATCAGATCTGTCACATTTGCAAAAGCGTCACTCGAACATCTTGAACATCAGTAAGGTGTTGATGTAGAGCTGCAGCTGGGCTCCATTCTGTTAATTTATAATGCTTCAAAAAGGTCCCATATTAATTAAAATACTTCTGTACATATAATAAAGACATGAAGAGAGGATGTTTTACTAAAGATCTAGATTTATCCAATTACATTTTGTTGGAGTGGTTTTATTCAAGTTACTAAATTTGAAAAAATATTTTCCTTTTTTCGGGGTAGATGCAAACAAGCTCAAAAATGCATTACTGCTGTACTTGCCTCTGATTGGCTATTTCTATTAAAGAACCAAGCAGCAACCTCTGGGGCTGAAAAAAGAAGCCAACGCGGACTTGCTACTGCAGTTCATCAAATGGCCACTTAAGGCTGGATCCAAAAGGGAGTCGATCCCCACATAGCCCCGTGTTAAAATGGCCATTTCAGCAGACATAAACGTGTCTACAGTCTGGTACAAAAGCAGGTTTGTTCTCTATAGATAATTTCCCCTTCATGACAACTGGAGGTGACTTTTTATATAAATTACACATTTAAATTACATTAAGGCTTAAAGTTACACATAATTTAGGGTGGGGTTCATTGAGTAACAGGTGGGTGCCCTCTCAGGTGGCTAGCCGGAGCCAACTAGGCTTCATTCGGTCTACCTCTTTCCCATTTTCGGATAAGCTAGAGTCGGGTGATGCCAAGATGGTGAGGACCTGAGAGAGGTTTAAATAATTTAAGTTAACTATTAATCTACATAAAACATCCTAAATCGGTAATTTTAAAAACCAAAAACCAAGCCAGAAATCTTGGTGTAGTCACGGACATGAATTTTAGCACATTAAGACAATTACAAAGTCAGCCTACGATCGCCTGATGAATATGTCAAGGATTAAAGCACTTATGTCTCAGCAGGACATGGAAAAACTTTTAGCGCATTTATCTTCAGTCAGCTCGACTACTGTAACACTGTCTTTACAGGGCTTCCTAAAAAAACAAATAAAAAACAATCAGCTGATTCAGAACGCTGCTGCTTGAGTCCTCACCAAGACCAAAACAGTGGATCACGTCACTCCAGATCTGAGGTATTCACACTGGCTTTCTGTCTGTCAGAGAATTGATTTTCAAATACTGCTGTTAGTTTATAAAGCACTAAATGGTTTGGGGCCAAAACACATTTCTGATCTTCTGCTTCATTATGAACCATCTAGACCTTTCAGGTCGTCTGGCATCAGGTCTGCTTTCTGTCCTCACGGTGAAAACTAAACATGGAGAAGCAGCGTTCAGATTTTATGCTCCATATATTTGGAACAAACTCCCAGGAAACTGCAGGTCTGCTGAAACTCAGTTCTTTTAAATCAAGACTGAAGACTTTTCTTTGTACCACTGTCTTTAATTAAATCAAATGTAAGGCTGTAAATCAATAACTTGCACTGTAAGTTCTACTGTCCCGTTTTATTTTCCATTTCACCATTTTAAAAATTGTATTTCAATTTTTTTTATTTCCCTATAATGTTTTTATGTAAAGCACTACAAAAAAAATAAAATTTACCTAATCCTAAAACCAGAATAATAATTTACCTTTGATTCTGCAGCATCTCCTTGCTTTCCAGGGTCATTCTTGTGACAACTAAAAGACATCTTTAATCCTCTTACATTTGCTGTTGTAACCTCTTAACTTTCCCATGAGAGCAATAAAGTTTAATCTAATCTCAAGTCTCATTCCGTTGCACTTCAACACAGGTTCCAAGAGGGGAAATTGGTAATTGCATGAAACCTCGGACAGGATTAAAATGACCCCAGGACATCAGAGTTAACTTAGGATACTGTAGGCTAAGTATATTTCAGGTAGAAGCAGAGAAAATTCCTAACAGGTTTGTAAAGTTTCTGCTGTCTGGAGGGTAAAAGAATGACCAATCACCAAACCTCTCCTGCCAAGGTCTGGCGCTGCTGAGAGAAGAATAATATCCCCATTTAGAGGATTCAGGCGGTAATTACATGGGAAGTGATGAGGTGATGGAGTGAAATGAGATTTGCAGCGAGGAGAAAGCTGAAGTTCTGAGTATTTTCTTTCTTATTCTGCACAGAGACGAAAAAACAAACTGAAGTGTGCAATTTCACCAACATGAAATCTAAAGACGCTGCAACCAAAGTGTGAGTACAGACAGATAAAGACAAAATAAATGGGGTGAGGATGATTGAGATGTTCTAATAAGTAGATTTAGATTTAAAAAAAAAAGAGATTTGAACTGCTAAGTGTTTATCCCATTGTTACGTTTTTAGGCAGAAGCTGTAATTTGGTTTTGAGACAGCGGCTAACCACCTGCTAGAAGTCCCATCTGCACCATCATTAACACTATTCCTCCATTTCAAGGCTTCACAACACAACACCACTCACACAAAAGGGACACATCACATTTTCAAAAGCTGCAAAGGAACACGGCACAACATCAGTTTTTGCCAATAAAACACGGTAACGGTAAACATCCTGTGTTTATGCTTCAGCAAAGAGTTTATTAAATTCTTATTTATGTTTTGATGCAGACAGAAACACAAATGAAAATATGATCATTGCTGCTACTCAATTGTTTCCAATATATTGTCCACTGCTACATACATTCATGCGGGGACAAAACATGGGAAAGACCTTTTATAAAGCCATTTTGTAGAGGTATAAATCTAAACCACAATTGTAACACAATTAGAAGAAGACACACAGTTCAGATATTTAGGCTTACCTGGCTGTTTCCTTGTTCCCTGTTTTTTGTTTTTTTGCAGCACGTGGTGCTTAAAATCACTTTCAAAATAATAATTGGCTTGTTTATCACACTCGTCTCTTGATTCATTTCCTGATTGTTGCAGGCTCCCACTTGAATTCTCTTTTTCGCACCATTTCATTTCCTTTCCCTCTATTTTCTCAGGAATGAGGCTCCATGATATTCACCTTGTAAGGGCAGGAATAGTACACAGGTGATTTATTTGTATCGAACCCGTTCCACACCCGCCGTGAATGCCGTAGACGGAACTTGAAGGCCTCTTCAGCTTCCACTTACCTGCTTTTCTTGTGCCTTTGCTCTTTTTTTCCACAGTCAAAAAAGGTCGGGACATTAAAAATGATTGCTTCATGTGTCAGTGGAGCAATCCTTTTAAAAGTTTTTCTTCAGAAAAACAGAAGGTGCCAGCATTCTGGAGAACAGAGATGTCTACAGCGCTGTCTTCTCCATTTTGTGAAAAACTTGTTCTTGGTTACAGGACACTTTTCTTACTTTTCCTTTCAGAGTTGTTCTTGAAGAATGACAGGTTGTCTTCCCGACATGGCAATTCAAAGAGAATCCTTCCAAAAAAAAATCCAGACGACCAGAGACTCACAACAGACAGATGCATCAGTCTTTCCCGTTTCGGTGTTTCTGTTCACCTGGTTTGCCTCCTGTTTCCCTGCCGTGGCTCTTACCTTCTGAGATCTCGTTGTTTTCATCGGTGACACCGCTGTCTTGTCCCCTCTGGGACTGAACCACCTCAACACCTTGTCGCTGAGCTGGAAGAAATAACATATAATGCATAAATCGATATTAACGAATGGTGGGGGAGGAGAGAAGAAACACAGTAACTTGGCCCAGATGTATATGAATCCATTAGAACAGACCAAAAAAAATGCATGAATTTACTAAGCATTTAAGAGAGGGGGAAAAGTAAATCATAAATGAAGTGTATTTAAGCTTTTATGTAAGAAACAAGCCAAGTGGCAGTAGCTGAAAAACAACATCAAACTCTTACTTACTTTTATCAATTAGGCACAGTGTGATTAAAGTGTAGGTCCTGGTGAGCCTGAGGATGTCAGTGAACACTTATGTTTTCTGTTTTAATTGAATTTGGCTCCTCATTATTTTATTTTGGCCAACACTTCACTCAGTTGAATCCTTGTTTTAAGAGACTTGACTGCTGAACTACAATGACACCAGGCCCACCTTTAAGATCTGCTATTCACTTAGCTTGACTGCCAGTGCTGAGTTTTTACTATCCAGTGCTGCCGCTAAAGTAAACAGAAGCATTGATTGTAGTTGTTTGAATGTCAAACACCATCACCCACATTTGAATTTAGATTTCATAAGTGCTGAGTGCAGTGTTAAGTTCATTCAGTGGTGCAACAACAACAAAATAGTTTTCAGCCCAGCAGATCATGCACTTGAGGACTGTATTATCATGGCATGTCTTTATTTTTAAAAGGCCTGATTTTCTAAAAGCTAATTCAAAAGGACTTTTCCACTCTGACAGGAATACATTTCCGAAAGACACAGCAACTCAGCACCTTTGGATTTCTGCGTTACAAATCCTGCTTAAAGGACTTACATCTAGTATTTCTTATTCCTGAACCAGTAGGACACGGAAATATCAGCAGGTTACTGAATGTCAGTGACTGAAACAAAGTAAACAACTCACTCGGCTTATTTTTGCATTCAGAACCACAGCAGTGAGCTGATGCATGCTGTTGTTGTTTGTGAATTCTTTCCGGCTTTGCTCAACTTGTCTTGCACTCCATCCACCACCAACCACGCAGCTTAAATAACATTACCAAATCAACATCAGAGGTATCACTGACCGGTGGATGCCAGCATTAAGGCAGAACTTGCACACAGAGAGTACTACTCATCACATAGTACTACTGTGTTGCTTTCTACAGGTACAAACTTTAAAGCATATTGCTCTAGGGGCCACACCCTAATCAGTGATGTCACAGCAGGTATTCTGCCAATCACAGCTGATGAAAAGCACCCGCTGTCATATCACTGATTGAAGCCAGAAGTGCAGCTCCATGTCACATAGAGATCCGTTCAGCAGCAGTTTTCTGTCTTGTGTGATTCAAAGCGGCTGCCACCATTTACATCACACTGTCTTGAGGTTGTTGTATTTAGTTTGCTGATTTTACATTAAAAACAACTTTAAATTACATGATGCTACTTCTGCAAACCTCCAATCTAAAGGGAGTCTGTTCCTTTCTGGAACAACTGACAGCATCAATCTTAACCCGCTTGTATCAGCCTTCAAAATCCCTCATCAGGGGAGTCATACCACTGAGGGTTGATGATTTGACTCAGTGAAAAGTCTCTTACCTTCATGTTTGGCCTGAAGAGGTTTGCTCTGCTTTCCTCCACTGACTGCAATTATCTTAAAGTTGTATTCTTTGGAGGGGTCAAAGTCCTGGATGAGCAGCTTTGCTTCGTGCTTCGATAACTGAACCTCCTTCTGCTCTCCACCTGTTCCAGGATAATAGAAGAACAAACACTCAGCAGCTGAAGTATGATGATTAGCGAGGAGACACGATTGCTGGTTTGAATCCTGGCCACGTAAGGGAATCATTTCTAAGATTCATTTGATTATTAATTTAATGGGAAGTAAATGCAAACACAATGGGGACTGTAAACAAACCAATGCCCTTCTGGCTTCGTTCCCAGCATGGTTTTTCATTTTATTCTAAGGGTAAAGACACGACGCAAAGTGTGCCCCCGTTAATTTTCTATGGGACAAGAGAAATCGATTCGCAAGCATTGTGGGATTCCCAGCAACGCAAAAAAATAGAGGGATTAAAAGTTCAAATGTATTTATCAACTATGAGGGCGAAATCACCTGCCAGGTACAGTATTTTTCAAAAAAGTGGACACCAAAAAAGCAATGCAGTGGTGGGACAGGAAGTTTAGTTTACCTGCTGTGCATCTATTGTGTTTTCTAAGATCCCTTTTTCCCTGGCCTGCAGCATTACAGATACAAAAGAAAGCGTGCTGCTTGGCACAACGTCACCAAAGTGCAGACTGAGGGATTGGTAGGCATTAGCTCAGTCTGTAGTGACTTGACTTGGGAACTGGAAGGTTACCAGTTCGCATCCAGCGCAGACCACTGCCGAAGGTGCGCCTAAGCCAGGACCTGAACCCCTAACTGTTACCCAATGCTCTTAATTATGATGGATTAATTGCAGTATAAGAAAAATAAGGCAGTGATTGGACCATTTAAGATTATAATATATTCAGCTCCCGGGCACTGCTGAGGTGGCACTGGCATCCCTCCAGCTACGAGTCCAACCCTCCGTTCCCACATAATGGACAAAGCTGCTTTATAGGTTTTTTTTTCAATTTCAACATGGAAAACAAATGAGAATGAATTCATCTGGTAACTGATTGTAATGAAGGATGCGTCACTGTTTTTTTTAAATAGTTTTTAGACAACAATGAAAATCTAGGGCACAGAAGAATAAAATAGAAGGATGTTATCGGTACATTCATTTTTTGCTGCATCTCATCATGAGAATTTCTGTTCACAATAAAAAGAAAATAAACAAAATGCTTTTATCTTTGGAAACACAAACAGAAAGCTTGTGCATTTAAATTTATTCCATAGTTCAAACTTTTCATTGTCTTTTATTCTACCTTCCATTGCACCTTTCTCCTTGCAATTAAAATAGCTGCTTCAGGATAATTTACACTATCTGGCATAAACGTAACAATCCTTTGCAGAGATCACACAACTTCAGTAATACCCATGTAATTATGTTCACATAAAACCAATACAGGAGCTCACAACATCTGTTTCAGCAGCATAAAGATCTACATACTGCAAGCAAAGAACTTCAGACAGAAAAACGTTTATTCCAGAAGGAGTGATTACACCTGAACTCCTTCTACAAGAGACGCAGGAGATTGAAATACCGAAAGAAAGACAGTCACATGATAAGGTGAGGAGGTAAATACAAGCGTTTTTAATTTGTAAATGTAAACGGACAATTCTTAGTCACTTTAGATTTCAATAAAAAAAAAAAGAATTGTAAACAGTATTTTGTATAAAGATAACAACATCATCACGACCTGAATTTCTGACTAGACCTATTGGCAAACACATTTCACTAGAAAATAGTTTTTTGCTTATCCATTATTCAGCTACTTCCACACTCACAGAGCACTCAGTATACTGTAGAAATGACTCAAAAATGCGCTGGTGCCAAAATCAAATTGGCACAGAGCAGCATGCAGGCATGACCTACAGTACTTTATTTCTTGAAGCACTTGTGTTCCTTTTGGCCATAAAAACAGTTTGACATCTGACTCACATTGAGGTTCAGACATACGTCTACAGGTGCATGAATCACTGTCTACTGTTCCTTAACTGCAACAAACCACTAAAAGGCTTTTGCAAATGCTTTTACAACTCTGGTCAGTGAACTGCTCTTTAACAAGGTATGGATTATTTCACTATATTAGATAGATAGATAGATAGATAGATAGATAGATAGATAGATAGATAGATAGATAGATAGATAGATAGATAGATAGATAGATAGATAGATAGATAGATAGATAGATAGATAGATAGATAGATAGATAGATAGATAGATAGATAGATAGATAGATAGATAGATAGATAGAGATAGATAGATAGATAGATAGATAGATAGATAGATAGATAGATAGATAGATAGATAGATAGATAGAGATAGATAGATAGATAGATAGATAGATAGATAGATAGATAGATAGATAGATAGATAGATAGATAGATAGATAGATAGATAGATAGATAGATAGATAGATAGATAGATAGATAGATAGATAGATAGATAGATAGATAGATAGATAGATAGATAGATAGATAGATAGATAGATAGATAGATAGATAGATAGATAGATAGATAGATAGATAGATAGATATAGAGATAGATAGATAGATAGATAGATAGATAGATAGATAGATAGATAGATAGATAGATAGATAGATATAGATAGATAGATAGATAGATAGATAGATAGATAGATAGATAGATAGATAGATAGATAGATAGATAGATAGATAGATAGATAGATAGATAGATAGATAGATAGATAGATAGATAGATAGATAGATAGATAGATAGATAGATAGATAGATAGATAGATAGATAGATAGATAGATAGATAGATAGATAGATAGATAGATAGATAGATAGATAGATAGATAGATAGATAGATAGATAGATAGATAGATAGATAGATAGATAGATAGATAGATAGATAGATAGATAGATAGATAGATAGATAGATAGATAGATAGATAGATAGATAGATAGATAGATAGATAGATAGATAGATAGATAGATAGATAGATAGATAGATAGATAGATAGATAGATAGATAGATAGATAGATAGATAGATAGATAGATAGATAGATAGATAGATAGATAGATAGATAGATAGATAGATAGATAGATAGATAGATAGATAGATAGATAGATAGATAGATAGATAGATAGATAGATAGATAGATAGATAGATAGATAGATAGATAGATAGATAGATAGATAGATAGATAGATAGATAGATAGATAGATAGATAGATAGATAGATAGATAGATAGATAGATAGATATAGATAGATAGATAGATAGATAGATAGATAGATAGATAGATAGATAGATAGATAGATAGATAGATAGATAGATAGATAGATAGATAGATAGATAGATAGATAGATAGATAGATAGATAGATAGATAGATAGATAGATAGATAGATAGATAGATAGATAGATAGATAGATAGATAGATAGATAGATAGATAGATAGATAGATAGATAGATAGATAGATAGATAGATAGATAGATAGATAGATAGATAGATAGATAGATAGATAGATAGATAGATAGATAGATAGATAGATAGATAGAGTATGCCATAAATGACCTTCAACTGTGCACACCTACTACACACCTCTCTGTATTCTCAGATAACCTCAAACTATTTCCAAATATATGAAAATGTCTTCAGTTTGTTTTTTAAAAGTTGACGTGATTGCTTTAACTGCCCAGAAAAGAAAACGAATATTTAGAAGCCCTCTGGCATCACAAACTGAGCTGTGAAAGATTAACTTTATTAATGCCTGCGGTGCTGACAGCTCATCATAGCAGCAAAGACCAGAGGGACGACAAATAAGAACAAACAGTAAAAGGTATAAACCAAACATATGAATACGAATGTAATAAGGAATATAAATAGAAATCTAATAATCAAATAAAAGAGATGTATTCAGCATCTAATCCTGCCAAATGTGTTTTACTGTCGTAGCAGCAGAGGGTTTGGCAGACGTCAGCAGTTTACAGATTGACTGAGAAGCGTAGGTTTCCGTTTCCTGGCTTAGAGAAAGAATCACCATGTCAACAGATATTGACTGAGAAGTCCAAGATCGACATATGCAAATTAATTTAAGAGTTTGTGATGAAAGAAAAGTGCTATTTGTGTTTCTTCTTTGCTTTTTTTTTTATATGATTGAATTTAATTTTGCCTCCTGCTCAATTCTTTTACTTCTGCTGCTGCTACAGAACAAACGTTCCATCTGGGATCAACAAATCTTCTTAAATTGTAAGTTATCAAAAGTTAAATTTCTTAATATAAAAATGATTGATTCAAAAATCTACTTTCCACCATCTGCTCCTGCAAAAAGATTGTAATCAGAAAAGCCAGCACGCTATCACTGTTTTCAAAACAGAGATTAGTCCCTTAAATGCTTGAATGACAAACAGTATCTTCTTATGTAAATGTTTATACAGTACGGCTAAATTAAATAATAAATCAGTTTGTCTTGGAAGTAAAACCTTTAATGTGCACGTCCTGTATGTTGCGTCTGTCTGTCTGAGTCATGCCTTGACTTCAACCAGGAAAAGAAAACCATCCTGCAGAGCTCTACAAAAACTCCCCGCTGTTAAAGAAAATTAACTACCGCTTCGTCACTGCTTTTCCACCTTCAATACACTCATGCTGATACCAGTGGCCTACAGCGAGAAGATGATTGTCCCGTCATTCACCTACCTCACTCGTCCCCAGAAGGCACGCAGCCATCCCTGCACATCCAGTTATTCTTTAAATCCTTTATTCAAAATTAAGCACTAGCCAAAGGCAGCATGTTGCAAAGCGAGCTGTGTGGGCATGTCTCAGAAATGAGGCCATCGTGCTTTGGTGAAAATGTCAAGCCGATAAAGGCAGTAAAGCTTTCTCTCACAAGTGAGTCTACGGCGCTCGTTACTGTTAAACTGACAACCGTTTAAATCATGTGACAAAAGACAAAGGCTTCCCAGTGGTTAAAGGGAATCCCTGCATTTACATGTCATGTAAAATGAACCAGAAACATTTTTGCAATCCTTTAACTTCGCCACCAGACAAGGAAACAAGAGGAACATGGTTTTGTTCTTTGACAGAAGATGCGGATGTTCAGATTTTGTCTGGATCTGTCATTCTCTACCTGCTATATCTGTATCCAACACCCTCTTTCCATTCACTCTCTCTCTCTCTCCATGTCTCTCCAGCTCCATCCTTCATCCTGCCCTCTAGCATCTTCTCTCTTTTTATATTCCTGTGTCATTCCCTCCACCCATTCGATTCTCTCTCGTAGTGTCAGGGGACAGCTGCCTGTGCTTACTGCATCTTATCTGACATTTTCTCCATTACTGTGATCAAACAGACGGCCAAGCCATACCAAAAGCTACAGCTTTACTTCACCGCTGGCTGACAGCAGTACTCAAACTTCAGGCCACAATAGATTGCTGCATCAACAATGTAAAGTGGGTAAAACCTGGCAGGCCTGTAGTTTATACGGTTTATTAGCAACTGTGTGAACTTGTGTCTCTTAGAAATTTTCATACACAAAGTGCTGATGGCTAACCTTGCTAACAATGGCTGGCCGTGCGAGGTTTTCCGACTTGCTAACTGGAACGCTGTCAACTTGGGTGTGACATCATTCCCAGCTCCGACCTCCGAGGTAATTGGAAACCAGCGTTAGTTTCAAGAAAAAAGAGCCAGCACACTGAACAGATGCTCCCAAAAATGCGATTTATTAGGTACAGTAACTATGTTTCAACATGATTCGTCCTAATCAGGAAATGTTAAACATAGACTTCACCTGAGTTAAACCACGTGGAATACCCAGGTCCAGCCAATCAATTACATTTATGTGCATATTTGGGAGTCTCATCTTGTAATAGTGTCCATAAATTGCCCTTTTATTGTCCATAATACATTTTGACGTTCTTTGGCTCAACCTGGGATTTTTGAATCCGAAGTCTATTTATGGACCTCCTTGGTAACATGTTACCTGATTACCTGATGTCAAAGTGTCATTATTGAACTTAATAAATCTTTTTGGGACAATCTATTCTGAGGACTGGTGACCTTTGTCTCTAAAGATTGTTTTTGCTTTTTTGCCAACACACTCAAGATCATGTTGGGAGGTGCATACAACATCCTGAAGCACCCAGTCAAAAACTAGCTCAAAAATCAACAATCTCTGTTCAACTCAACAGAGTTTAGAGAGTGTTAGTTTTGTAATGCAATCCCTGGGGTATCAGACTGACACATTCAATCCCCCGCTCTGCCTGGTCCTCTCCACACAACGCTCTGAAGCCTCGGTGACGTACGGACAACCTCAACACTGATAGGCTATCGCGATTCAGTGTCGTGCGACTTCTTCGCTTGAAAATATTCAACTCACGCAAATTCCTTCGCGTTGATTTAGTATGGAATTTGAAAATTACCTCTGCTTCCTTTCTTCCTTCCTTAACGTGTCTTTCTTATATTGTATAATCTTCCTTTGGTTGTATGAAGGATCTAGTGTCTAGTGAGTAAAATTAATGCAAATTTTTTCTTATTTTCATCATTTTATACTTTATAAACATGAACAGTATCTGCACAAACCCACTTACGGGCCCCTACTGGGCCTCACAACTTACTCTGGGAATCTCTTTAACTGTCCTATAATTACAAGTCTTCAACAGAATGAATTCTTGAAGCTTTCCGTCAGTTTTCCAACAGTAACAGGAGAAGAGGACCATTTTTACAGCAGTGCATGCAGCTGCACCTTTTCACACTGCAATAAAATCACTCTGATGTCTTTTTCAGTGGGACGAACACCCAGAACAGAAAGGAAAAATTAAATTAAAGACAAAATCCCGTGACTGTATTGTCAGTACGCCCATGGTAATCTACAGTATTCCTGACTAACAGGGTAGCAGCTCAAGCTGATTACAAACTGACTATTGAAACATTTCCTCATGATAAATGTGTTTCAGTCTTTACAGGTATTCATCCTGTGCATCTGCTTTCTCTGACAGAAATAAAAACCTGGGCAACTAGGACTACAACTACACACTCATTCTCCAAGTCTATATCATGTGTTCTTCATCTCCTCTAATTATTCTTTCTGTATCCATTTATAAACTTGTTTATGCAATTGAGCATCACCCAAACTGAACCTAAATCACAAAGTGTTGCCATTTACTTGTCAGTACTGTGAAATGAAACAGAGTAGTGTTAAATTAGACCACACAAGTTTTATTATCCCTTAAAAAATCCATTGGGTACAACTATGAATGAATGCCTGTCACATCCCACTGAACGTGTTCAACAATTGTTGGTAGAACAACTTGCACCAAAACTAAAAATATTTACAGCATGAAACACCTGAAATACCTACAGGGCCTACATTTTTCAGATCTTTCAAAACAGTTTCCACTTGATTTTTTAGCAAGCAATTCAATATACTGAAAGATTTCTCCCAGTTTCTGTTAGTATGTTCTTAACCTTAATCCCAAAAATCAACTATGAGCTGGTGGAAGTTTTACGCTTAAATGACACTTAAATTTAACTGACACTTAAATTACAATGTTGTGTTTACTTCCAACACTGTGGGTCGACCCCACATAACATTCACTAATAGCTCCCCTGATGTCACATGATGCGCTCAATCAATTAATCACACTATAATTACAATAAAATTTCAAAATGAAGGTTATGGCTTTGCATCACACCCTTGAACAGTAAAAACGTCTGCAGTGCACCTGTTTTCACAAACAGCAATAAAAAAACTTGGCCACAGTTTTGAAACTGAGTAATACCCCTTGGAATAATAAATCACAGAGCAGCTTATGAACTATATACTGTAAGTTCACTTTATAACTATGATTACAGTCAACCTATGACATAATCTTAAGTATAATGTCTGTGTTGTTTAGAAAAGAATGCTGACAAAGAGAACAGCAGCCAACCATATTAAAACCAGGGCTGCTGCATTAAACCTTGTGCAATGTTGTTGAGATTGACAGTGATTGTGAAAGCCTACAAGGACATGTGGCATCAGTTTACACCCTGTTACCATTTTATAACATACACATGGGTTAAACGTGGGCTGGCTAGCCCTTAAAATAATAAAAATTAAATGAATCCCATCTTCATAAAAGGTTTTAGTGTTCACTATTTGTTACCGTTTTAAAAAAGGAGATGATTTAACTTCATTGTCACTTTAGAGGCTGCACTGTATCCGATTATACTGAAAGACTGTTACACCCCATTTACACCTGGTATTAAAATCCCATCTGTACCTGGATAAGGAAAAATGCATCTCACTGCAAAGTGTAAATATCTGCCTGACCACATCTGGAGGTAGTTTGACTCTCATCGTGTTCACACACTGCTGGTGTCCACACACAACATAACATTATAGCCTACAGATGTGTTTCTTAGTTAACATAAAATATAGCAAGCTAGAAGGCTGAAAAGAGACGTAGCTCGACTTATTAAGCATCTCTTCTGTGCCATGAAACTGACCTGCTGTTAACAAGGCAATTAATGTATCTGGCGAGTAGCTTACACGCCGGTACTGCAACACACCGGCAAACTGACACAATATTTTTACATATGTATTTATATATTTATATATGTACTGCATTTGTTGAATTTATCATAGGAAACAAATAATTAAGACAAGGTTATAAAGTTTGCCCTCACTAACAACTAATAAAACTATGTGTTTTTAATTAACTGAGTCAGTCACGCTGCAAAATAACTTCCATGCCGATTAACAAGTCAGGCTACGTTCAACATTGACATGCTGAGCCTTGCCACACCAACATTCAATGGGCTTAAGTATTTTAACAAGCTTGCTGAAGCCTTCATCAATAAATCCAAAGGTGTCTGCAGCAATCAACCACCGCTTTCCACAGTGTGCACCTGTTATATCAGATCCTGAGTGTGGCTACGTGTCTCTTTATCTGCACAGTGACTTACGAACCAGCAGGCAGGTGAAACCCACATAAAAAAAGGTTGATTTGTTCTCCCTGAAGGGAAGAGGTCTGACTACCGTGCTCCTCTGTGCATAACTAGAATTTCTGTCCCACGAGCAAATGACAAACAGCATACAGTTGATTTGTGACCTGACAGAAACTGAATCCACCTGCATTCTGTTTGTCGTTTCACAAAATGTCCTTTCATGTCATCTGGGTACCACATTGGTACAACTTTTAAAAATAAGTGCTGATAGAGGCTCTTCTTTAATAATGCACCATCACTAATAATAATTACTGCTGAGGGGCCCTTGAGCAAGGCAATAAGCAACAATCCATCACAGAGGCCGTACTGCTCAGCTTTCCAGGTGTGAATGGGGTACACCAGGCACGACTGTACAGGAGAAGACTGAATTCCTCGTCACATTTCCCTGGATAAATCAAGTTTAGACTAGAAGGTTTCTGCAGGGAGCAAATCTCCATCAGCTCTGAACAATCCTCCAATTCGCCAAGCTGAAGCCTCAAACCACACAGTTTTGTAATTTCCTGGTCTTCTAATCTTTTTTTTAAGCTTGGTTTTTTTTAACGAATGAATCATTGATGAAGCAGGGATGTGAAACGGGTGTGTATTTTTGCCTAGATTTCTGTCAGCTCTCAGTACAAAGACGTCATTCACACTTGCCAAATTGGATAAAATATTAATAGAGTGAAGGAAAAAACTGTCTAGTTCTAATATTGGAGCAAAGCTCAGCTTCTACTGAATTTATTTCACCTTCACTTTGGGAGCACCTGGCGTATATTTGACGTAAAGTCCCATTTATTCTTTTGCAGAATACTCATCACACATCCTAATCTGGATCCTCATGGAAATCTTAACAGATCCTAATGTTTAAACCAAATGACAACTAAATCAGTTTGTAAAATATTGAGAACTCTAACTACAAAACAGGAACGGCCATCCCTCAATCTTAAAGCTGAAGGTATCGTGATAAAAGATCCGCTCAAGCAAAAACACAGCTGAAATACAGACATACTGTAAGCATCCACGTCAGTGCCGCATCTTACCTGGCCGTGTGGTGTAAATGACCTTGTAGCTTTCAAACTCTCCTTTTGGCTCTTTCCAAGACACGTGTAGTTTGGTGGGGCTCAGGATTTTGGCACGAAATCTCCGCGGCGATGAAACTAGACAAGAAACAACAAGATAAACAGCGTTACACAATAACAGACCGCGATATACTGTAAATATATGAATGAATGAATAAAAGATCCTGGTCATGCACCATCCATTCCTCCAATATTTGTTTGTTTAAGTATAAAAACAACTTCTGTCATCAGTGTGTATTAGTGGATTACATCCATAACAATGAATGGAGTTCAATTTTGTTCAGTCATAGTTGATAATAAAATTAATTTAGATTTTTTTTAACACTTTGATGTCTTCTTTTCAACACCACCTGTATTAATAAGACCACAGGTTGTGTCAAACTGCTGCTATTAACAGATGTTGTGCTTAAAAGTGACAAAAACGTCAATTTAACTAATCAAACAGTATCACTGCTCAGGATGTTTTACAGGACTGCAGGTTTCACAGAATCTGCTCTCCTTCTGTTTTACTTCTGCGTGGTCGCTCATACGCTAAGCACACAACACAACTGTGACTGAGTTAAGTTAAACTGAACTCCCTTCAGAGTTATGGCGGCGTAGAGGCACTCGCTCCATCTGTGTTATTAAACAGTTAGGAAAGTTTTTTCTTCTTTTTTTTTTTTTAAAAGGATAAACTGTATCTCATCCAAGCGGGAGGATACATATCAGAGAGATTAGCTTGCACAGATGTCACATTAAAAAGCAAAATCCCACTCTCCTCCTCGTCCTCATCCTCCTCTTCCTCCTGTATTGATGAGCCCACTTTGTGCCCCCCTATCTCTCTCTGTGGGGATAGACAGGTCTTCTTCTGTGTTCCACTTACCATCAGCATCAAAGCCTCTCATCCTGATTAGTTGTTGGCCCTGTCAGCCGCCTAGAGGCCTACCCCCCACTTTTCTCTCTGTATCCTTCCCTTATATTAATTTTCTCACTCTTACACTCTCTCCCCACCTCCATCGCCTCATCTGTCCCTCTGTCTTACTCTTTCTATCTGATCCCTCCCTGTCCTGATCTCATTTTCTTTCCTTTCTTGTCTTTCTGCGTGTCTGTGCTTTGAAATTGCCGTCAGGGGTAAGAAGAGGATGAGAAAAAGGAGTGAATGTGACTTCCTTTTAACTGCAAGGAGAAAAAAGAACAAAGGGCACCAAAGGGAAAGGCACTGGAATAGCATCTGTTTACTATTCCTCTCCTGTCCGAAGCAGGAGTATTTAGATGTACAACACAGAGTGACTAGATCCACTGAGCTGCACAATATCCAAATACACTTTACAATGGCCTCAATGTGCATATAAATCCTTAGAAAAGTCAAAAACACTGTGTCAGCGAAACTTTATGTACACAACTGTACACAAGAGTATGATCATTCTTTCACTAGGCTCCTACGCGCTGTTTATTTTTACATTAAGACACAGGTTAAAACACTGGAATAAGGCCATTGTAAAGCAATTCAATGCCAAAAACCACATTTCCGGGTCAACAGCCACAATACCCCATCATTTTTACACCGGCAGAGCCAAATCCCAGATAATAAATATGTATCTAGAAGAAACACATTCCCCGGTCTAATTTAGTTAACTATAAAAAAGGATGTGGAAAATAAAATATGAAACCCACAAACTCGCTCCTGTGTTTGTGTCCTCATTATGAGGTGAGCCATCTGCTGCCGCCGACTTCTTTAAATACCTACACCGTGATTGACGCCTGGTAGAGCTCTGATGCTCTGGAGCACAATAAACAAGAGGCTTAAAGGGATGGTTCAACAGCAAAACATATCGACTATGGAAAATGCACCTTTTAGAAGGATTTTTCTTTATTGCTGTGTGTCTGTTTGTCCATATGACACATGGTAATGTGTAATAACAATATGTATAGATATTTAAACAGTATCAGATTAGATATTTTTGTAATGTGCCTCCCAAGGTGAAAAGACAGCTACAGCATATTGAAGAAAAAGTGGCTGTTTTTTTTGGCTTTTCTGAACTGATTTATCCACTTCCCTGCAGCTTTATCAACAATACAGGATTTAGTCGAGCTGATAAGATCTATCACCAAACACCTTAGCAGCATTTTGTGTGAACCGCCTCTTTATGCATGTCATTATCTGCAGAAAACTACTCATGTAGGTATGCAAAGAATCTTGAGTTCAGCACAGGAAGGATAATCCTGATTTCAATGGAGAGAATGTGAAGCCGGCGCATTCAACAGCAGGCAAATATATTTATATACAAACACATATAAGGAATACTGTACCAATTATCTCACCAACCTGGGGATGAGAATGAGGGCTGCTTGGGATTTCGGCTCAGGGTTTAGCTCTCTGTCTCGGAAACAAAAGGACATTCTCTCGTCTGGAGAGAGCTGCTCAAATCCCGAATGATTCGAGAAGCAGATTTCGCACTTCTCTCTTGTAGTGTTGTTGAAATGTGTTGATTGTGTGTGTGTGTGTGTGTGTTGTGTGTACCTGTGTGAGTGCACATGCATGTGAACACATGAATTATGTATGTTTGTCCACAACTGGAGGCAAGTGTATTCTTGTGTATGCACATTAGAATCTCAGTGAATCTTATTCCATGTAGCTTTGGCGGTTGTTTTTCCACTCATGCCTCGTAGCAAAACCTGCCGGTTCCTTTGCAGCACCACACACACACACACACACACACACATACATACATACACACACACTCACTCGCTGAAAGCCATGGATCTTCTCTGTGAGAATGTATTCTCACGCAGAGTAAAGTATTGGATGCTGAGCAAACAGCCTGGTAAAGACAAAAGGCCTCGCCTGTAGAGATGAGAACTTAATTCCCATCTATTTTTCATGGAGAATCTTGTGCAAACAGCAGAGCCGACTGCTGTCGAGGGTTGGAGAGATGTCCGTCACACCCACCAGGAGTTGTGCAGCAAATCAGACGGGCAAAGTTTTGAGTGCATTTTAAATAATTGGAGCAGGAGAATCCAGGGGACATTATTTGGTGAATTTACAGTGCTGAGCTGAGCATATCAAACGGTAAAACTCTTCTCTGTGAGTAGGAAGCTTTTAGTTTGCAAACATGTCTTTTATAGAAGACTTTAATACCCATGCTGTCATTAGCAAACTCTCTTAAAGCTGCTACACAGAGCATTAAAACATCAGTGAATCATTATCATATTAAATTTCAGACCAACATGTTACTACACTGCACACTGATACAGGGCACTGTCCTTCCAGAGGAAACTAGAGCTAAAGCTTTAAGAGTTTCTGGTAAGGGAGGATGTAAACAGGATTCTAACATGGTTGTCATTTTCATGTCAAAGTTTTGTGTGCTTTAGGGATCCAATTATTTTTCTATTTCATGGACTATTAATTTACACTTCTATCCCCGCAGCTTCTGATTATATTAACTGCAATGTCAGTATTTGTCACCTAGAAAAAGTACCACTAAATGACTGACATTTGATTCCACATCCCCTCCAGGTTCACAAACCTGCACTTCTTCTTTTATTTCTGCAGGCAAAAAAAAACTAAGAAGCCTCAACAAAGCCTGAGCTAACCCCCCCCCAAGTTATTTCTTCACCTTTCACCTTTTAAATAGGGATTTCATGCCTAGAGTTGGGTTAGGGAGTAATTTAGGACATAAAGTAATTACTTAATGAAAGCCATATCTTATTCCACAAGGTAACTTTGTAAAGAGAAAGGTTAAATGCCAAAATAAAGAAGAAAGTTTCTTTACATCTCAAAGGTAGTGCTCATCGATCAGCTGGAAGTCTATTTGTCTATCTGTCAGCTTTTCATTTTATTTGCCATTTTGCTGAAGGACTCCTCACCGTGCCTGACTCATCTGAAACTAACAAAGAGCAAAGTGGAGTTTCTCAGTGGAAGCTCTCCAAGCTGATCGTAACTCCTCATTTCCTGCTGGGTCACCGGAGTAGCCGTGGTTAGCACACTAGGCCTCTTCACTGAGGAATGCTGTGATTGAATTCAGGTTCCTCGCACTCTGGCCAAAACTAGCGTCCGTATAGATCATGAAAGTCACACGAGCACTGAGCTTTTTCAGCGAGCTGTGTTTAAATGGCAACCTTAACAACCACACTGAGAAAAACAAAGCAAGGCCTAATTTTAATGGTATCCACAAACCCAAATTTTACAGAAGTATAGAAAGATATTGATTTTAAAAACCGAGTTGGAAAAACATCAGAGTCAAAGTTGTATTACCCAGTATGGGCCAAAACACACTGAAGCTATGAAACTTAAATTATATAGTCATACTGACAAGCATTCCCTCTGTGTTAAGCTTTAACTCTATTTAACATATTACATAATGGGATAAGTAAGTAAGTAAGTAAAGTTTATTTCTATAGCACCTTTCACAGGTATAGGGCCACAAAGTGCTTCACAACAAAAACATTAATATCATAAAACACACATAAGATATGAGAAGGATAAGAGCATGTAAATACAGTGAACTATATAGCAGACCAAAAATCAAAATTCAGAACACCAATGTCACTAGGCAGCTGACAAAAGGGTCAGTCCTCACTGACTGAAAGGAGTGTATAGTATGGTAAAGTTGTCCAGGTTAGCTAATTAGCTTGTATGCTGACCTTTCAAACCCCTACTCTGCCATTATGGTATGGCACACAGCCCATCTACTGACTTGTGGTTGTGGCACCATAACAGCAGGCTTTGGTTCTCCGCCGCAGTACTGAGCAGGTTTAGCCCTGTTTCACGTTCAGCACTGCCAAAAAAACCTTTGAAAGTTGGCAGACGCTAAATGTGTTTGTGTGCAGCATAAGTACATAACTGTGCTCATCAATCTTTTGGTGTGTTCCTCTTTTTTTTTTAAAACAGACACAAAACTATATCTTAGATGCATGTTCAGGTTTTCTGTATAAGGTGAAAACTATAAGGTCAGCACTGGTAATTTAAGACACATAATGAATATCAGTTGATCATTTGTATTCCTAGAGAGGTGTACTTGGTTTAAAAGGAGTGTATAAAACAGTTAATGATGATAATGGTATTAAGAAGGATCATCTCTCTTTGCTAATGAGGTAATGACTGAGATTATGTGTTAATTGCTGAATAAGTTAAATGAGTTTAATAGAGTGAGAGAGGATGTCAGAGCAAACATAATGACATGAAGAGCTCTTGTCTTACAGACAGTGAGGCGTTAACAGTAAAACAAATGCAACTTTACAAATGCTGTAAAGTTAACAGATGTATAGGAGCAAAAGTTGATTATTTAAGCAAATTAAATTTCAAAATTCAGATTGGGGATAAGTGATTTAAAATCTTTAACCTGAGTTACACAGAAATCTGTCATTAGACTGCCTCTTGAACACTCCTCCTAAATAAATAAGTTGACCACATGTGCGCTTTAATTACAGAGTTAAAAGAATGTGCCACAGTCAACCAGTTTGTCTAGCAGATGGTAAAACATGTTTTATCATTTTGGTTTTTTTGGCATCATTGCTTTTCCCTTTGAAACAGACACATGTGGGAAAAAGCTCATTAAAAGGATAAATTAAATTAAAAGAAAATACTTTAAAAGAAAAGTAAATTAATTTGGCGCAAAGCTGCACATCAAATTTACAACATAGTGGAATTCAGAATTTAGCCTGCTGATTAAAACAGTGAGTGAAAACGATGATACCTGCATTTCCACAACAGGGCCACACTGAGGTTTACCAAACCAGCAATGAGCTTACAATCTTTATCATAATGCTGAAAGCAGATAAGCCGTGAATGATTTCTAGCCCTGTCTGGCACCATTGTGGAATTCATTTTTCAAGTAAATTAGGAAAATAGTCTGTTCATGGGCTTGTCTGGTCCTGATATGGGAAGACCTTGGAAGCCCTGTTTGGTTCTATGCTAAAACACCTTGTTTGGCCTCCAGGATGCCAAAATGTTTTGAAAATAACAGTCCTCATGGAAACAACCCCTAAAAATATAGGTTACAGAGAGGAAACGTTTGGCCCTATGGGAATTTCTAGTATTTCCATTTGGCACCAATGTAGAAACCCCAGTTATCTTAGTTTAGGGACATCATCAGCTAGCCCAGTTTATAGCTCCACATGGTGCCAATGTGGAAAGGAAAGTCCTAACAGCATATCACTGGGTTTGAAATCTGTGGCTTGCCCTGTGGGGTACCAACAGGAAACACCATGATTAGCCTTGTTCGCCCTTTTATTAAAAGCCTGTATTTGGTCACGTGTACACATGTCATGTGTGGTAACATCCCGTATTGGCCTTGTTGGCCCCGTTGGCCCTTGAGTGGAAAGCAGGCTAGTGGAGGTACTTACCTTGGCCCCGCGCTGGCTGAGGGAAAAGACAGACGAGTACGAAGCCCAGCAGGCAGAGGCTCAGGTTGACTGAGAACTGCATCCTGGTAGCAGCAGACAGGAGGACACAACACACCTGATGTAGAGGGAGGAAAGGGAGGAAACACAGAAAAGACAGAGGGAGCAGGAAAAGAGAGGTGAGCAAGGAGTAAAAAAGGAAAAGGAATGGAAGATGAGACAAGGAAAGCCAGAGAGGAAGGAGGTGAAGGGAGGAGATGAGCAGAAGAGAGTGACAAAAAGGGAATGTGTGATGGGAGCATGGAGGAGTGAGGAGGACAGAGAGAGGTTAGAGTAGCAAGGGGATTGAAGAGGTAGAGGGAGACAAGGGCAGGAGGAGGAGTGAGATGAAGGGATTTCAACAGTGTAAAAAAGGACTTACAAACTCCATATGGCACTTTATAATGTCATCCTAAATTACGTTGCAATATTAAGGCCCTTTTGTTTGAGTCGACTGTTCAAGGTCATGCAGTTACAGACAAACCTTACATTTGTTATATTTATTACATTGCTGTAAATATATAAAAAAAAAGCAGGTGCTTTCATTAAGTACGCAGGGATGGATTTGTAAAAACGTTTCAAATATTGGTGAATGGAGAGATGAATAGACATTTATCTCTAGAGGGAAAGCCAACACAAGCTGCTGTATAGACTGACAAGTTAACTTACATCACAGAGTTTTTGAATACCCAGGCCCTCACATTAAATCTCTTTCAAACTGATTTCAGATTGGTTTACGCTTTGAAATTAACCTTGGATTAAACTACAAAAAATAATGTTTTGTTACTTATTTGAGCCCCCCTCCTTTGTATGTATAAAGTATGTTATTATAATGACACTTCATTTATTGTCATACTTGGATGTTAACAAAGTATGTGTGGATCATAATAAAGCATTTAAGCATAAGTACTGACTGTAAGAACATCAGTAAATGAGTAAAAGCAGTATTATCACGGTCACATACACAGGCTGCATCCAACAATAAATAAATAATGTGCATTACTCCCTGCAGAAAGCTGATGTAGTAGGGAGTAGCACAGCTGTTGGATGTAAATGCTCTGTTATTACTAGTCAAAGAAACAATACATACGACATTGATAAAAACTGAAGATGTGTTTTTATTAACTGGAGGGAATTGCATTATCATTAGCAACACCTGCATCAGACTCTGTATCCGTAAGCAATTGGATAACACCCCTCTTTTGTTTCTAAATACTGCTACAGTCAACTTTTATTTTCAGGCAATTTTCAATAATTTATTGATATTACTGACTATTTCGACTTGGCATTTTCTCAAAGTCAATGTTGAGGCAAGCTATGCTTATGGTAATAAAAACAGAGTTAGGATTATAGGTCTGTTGAGAGCAGGCCTTCCTCAGTAAAAAATCACTACAATATCCATTAAATATTCCCTCAGGGACTTACAGCCTGGCATAGTGAGTTTATGGTGACATTAAAACACCTGGCTATTTTATTTCCAATTCTTACAATAAACCTGTAGAGTGTCAGTTCCTATATAGTTTAGAGCCCCGTTGTTAAGCTGTTGCATGCTTCTAACTTTCATTATGGTATCACTTAATATGCTTCAGGGTTATTTCTTTGCATCTACCGAATCAGTCACTCTCACTCTGAAGGTAGTGTACAGCATCGATTGGTGCACACTCCAATAACGCACAGCCACCCGATGCTGAGAGAAAATATACAACCACTTTAAGTTGAACGTAAATAAAAGCAGCTGAAGTTTTCCTTAATTGAAACGGGCACAGGTGAGATCTGCACGGTGCGCCATCAGCAGCACATCTACGCGTGCAGCTGGATGAGGTGGAGATCTAAAGGTCCGCGGACCTGAAAGCTCGTTTTGCAGATGTGTGCAGTGTGTTAATAAAGAGCAGCTGTACCTTCTCAGATCATATGTTTCCAGGCTCCGCAGTTCTCCTCCAGACAGCTGTATGAGGCGCTCACTATTACTCCCCAAAACGACTCTGATCCACTCTCACAAACTCCCCGCTGCCAGTCGACCTGGAGACAAGTTACACAGAATGATATAAGACACTACCGGTCAAAAGTTTCAAAATAAAATCCCTGCGGACTACTACATTTTAGAAGAGTACAGTGATGGTCAAACACCAAATGTTCTTGTCTTCGCTATTTCAACCACAATTTTTTGCTTTTGCTGTCACACAGATTGTCAGCCGTTTTTAGAACTAGTGTTATCATTATTACCATTACTATTATACCCATTTGAAATGTGTTAAAACTACAAAACACCACTTTTACCAATGCAGCGCCATCTTCCCATATTAAGAAATATAAGATTATTGGTGATACTCCACCTGTAAGGTTTAACGTTAAGCTACTGACATTAATTCAGTTATATAGTCTCTTCTGTCATTTGGCAACTTCACAAACATGACTATCAACTAATCCAACATGTTATCTTAAACGTACAACAAACGTTTATTGTTTTCTTGCCTGGGAAAGAAACGTTTCTTGCTTGCTGGGAGGGAAGTTGAGGGTAAAGTCAGGTGGGCTAATGTTTGTAGCTTCTAGTTAGCTCGCTTAGTTTTTAACGGTTTTTAAAACGTTAGCAGACTGTCAGCAAAAATGTATCTTTCAGACTTGTATTATACTTAATAAAATTAATATTTTATTATTACTAAACCCGTTTGATATATGGAATAAACTATAAAACTTCAATTTACCCAATGCTCGAGCCATTTTCCATATAAGTTATAACGATTATTGGTCACATTCCGCCTGTAAGGTTCAAGTTAAGCCGCTAAATTAATAACGTACATTCTCTTCAGGCAACTTCACAAATATGAAAATCGACTAATCCAACATATAAATATAACGTTACAAGAAACGTTTCTTGTTTTCTTGGTTGGGAAAGAAAATATTTTGCTTGCTGGGGGAAAGTTAGGGCTAACGTTAGGTTAGCCAAGCTAGCTAACGTTTTGCTGCTAGCTTAAACGAACCGTCTGACAGTTAGCTGGCTAGCTTTTATGTTGCTAGCCTTTTAGCCATCTAAGTAAACTATGTAAAAAAAAAAAAATAAATAAATAAAACGTCTTCTGACCTCCAAACATCGTCACATCTTTAAGGTTGTAAAAGGAAAAAGCTGCTCACAGCCAAAATCCCTATTTTCCGACGTTTAACTGCTGTTTAACTCCAAACTGACAGTTTATTTTAGACACGCCCACTTCGAATTACGCGTTTAGCCCCTCCCACTGCAGTTTCCCTCAACCAATCACATCCTTCCTGCCTTATAACACTTCGCGTTTATCAATTTACTTTAATTTAAAGGGGCTTTATTGGCATAAATTCTCTTAATTTGAAGGCAATATTCCCTTACTTCCTGTCTCTCTGTGGCTGCCTCTGGCGAGCTTAACTGAGCAGTTTCTGTAGGTCTCTTCTCAGTTGAGACTTGCAGCGGACTGATGGGTGTTTCCTGCTTCAGTCACCATCCCTGCAGCTATTCATTCCTTTTACCTAGATTAATGCGAGGCGAGGCAGCAGAAAAATGTGTTTTAGGCAGCCTAAGCGGGTGTGGAGTGTATTTTTCTGACCCCTGGCTTTATGCTGTAGCCTATTGTATAGCTCCTCAGGGGCTCCTTTTGATATGTCCTCTCTCTGGTCTGGAGAGGTGGCCTGGTGTAAAAACTAAAAGTCAGTATTATGCAAGAAGAATGGAAACAATCATGAAAAACAACATGTTTTTAGACTGATTAGTTTCCCTCATGTGTGGGTTACAAAAATGTTTTGATCTGTTCATTTCAACATGCGAATGTGACCCGAATAAAACCAGAATAAGCCTGTTCATCTTCAAGCAAAAATATATAAATGTCTATGTCCTGTAGCAACATAGTAATGTCCACACAGAGCTGCAGCTCTGGATGTGCAGGTGTCCTTATCTTTGAGATAGCACATGACCTTGAATGAATAATGGGCTTCTGTCTGCTGAAGGTTGAGACACTCCGTTTCTGTGTAACTCAGTTATTATGGGTTTGTTTGCTGACCATGTAGCCTTTGACAAACAGACTTGGAGGTCTCTGAAGTCTCTTGCATTATCATAATCATGAATATTTAACAGTTAAATTCTATCTGTTCTCTTCAGACTTTGAGTTCAGACAAATCTGCAGCTTGAATAAACAGTTTGTCATCATGAGTTTTCTTCAAGTTCATATCGAATGTGATTGTATATTTTGTTTTCAGTGCATGCTAGTTAAACTCAGAGTGACAAAACTAAAAGGTGGTTAATTTAATTGACATTAAAATAAATACAGTAGCATGAAACTATGCAGATTCAGTGTCAGAAAAACGATGAATAAAGAACATTCTGAACCTAATTTTTACTAAAATGAGCTCTGGTGAAAATACTATGACAAAAAGCAGTGAAACGTATCACTGTTTTTATAAAGGTTTTTAAATCAGATTTACAAGGTTTTCCATGGTGAAAAGGACGATTTTAAAAGCACTGTTAAAACAACAACAAAATCACCAATATCACTAATCACTAAACAAATGAAAACCTTGCTGTTTCTGGCATGAAAGCAAATCACATATTATGGGCAGTTGCTGAACTTATGACTCACCTCAAATTCTCTACTCTCAAAATGGCTAAACAAGTTTGCATTTAGGAAAACTGAAAAGGAAAATTAACAGCACATTTGGAAATACTGATTCATAGTCATACTGATAGTGGACATAGTGTTTTGCAATCAAACCCTTTGTTTGTGAATGTAAACAAAGTGTCTTCTCCCGCGTTAATAAACCAGAGAGCTGAGGCTTTATTATGTGACTGGAAGACTACAAATTAACTGACTAAATTGGAAGATTCAAATGAACTCAGCTCCTGTTTCTGTTGAAAATATGACCCTTTTCACCAGCAGATTATCTCAGGTAGGCCTACACTCAAAACAAATGCCTTGATTGTGACTGAATAGAAAATAATGATGGCGTGAGATATCTGCATGGAGCAGTATGAAAAACCTGAATAAAATGCAAGGATGGTGACCCATCTTTCTCTCATTCTAAGAACTGAATATCTCAAACTTTATCCTAAATCCTAAAATACATTTTCACCTAGCTTTGTAGCCTTTAAGTGTTCTGACATGAACCGTTTTTTAAAAAGTTGACATGTATTGGGTTATATAAGACATCTAAAAGAGTGTTTATTTCTTATTTCTTTAGTACTGAAGGTAGGATGGGGCATCCTGCCAAAAGGAGATACCGCTCCACTGAATTCAGTTAAATTCACAACACTTCATAAAGTCAGACAGATCCTTCCAAATGTTAAGGTGACCATAAATGTCTTATTCTCTCTTTCATCTTCACTGCATTTTGTAGGTTTTATGTTTGCTGTCAACACAGTGTGCAGCCTCTGCTGGAAGGAGTTTAGGTAGATATTTACGCATAGGTACAGTAGGTGTTTCTTGGTTTTACCAGTAGGAGACAGTACAAGAAGTGATTAGTGGTCTCCTTAGCTTCACAAACTCTGGCAACAAGAGTCAAGAACTCTGCCGATTTTCCATTTACCTACCTTCTATATAGGAGGAACTATGTGTCAGGAACTATATCTCATATATAAAACATGTTTTTCTTAAAACAAAAAGTGAACAAGATACTGTATACAATTCAACATGTTAACAGTCTGTCTCCGTTTGCGACTCCTTGGGTAATGTTTCAACAATTTGTTGATCTGAAACATGATTCTTAGTGATCTTATGTTTTGTTATGTCTCGGTGCACATCGATGAGTTGAATCTTCCATGGTTTTGCAACACAGAATTATCAAAATGTAACTATTTTCTGTCTTACTCAGAGTCAGATGAGATGATAAATATCCATTTAATCTCTGTGTGTCCGGTAAAGAGAGAGTTTCATGATACGCTTGGCAAATAGTTTAGCACATAGACCGAATATAAGGATAAACTGTTCACCCATCTCTGTCAAAACTCTTAAAATGTACGACACAAAGCTGTCAGTTTGTTATTTATTCAGGCAAAAATACAGACATATTGATTACATGATTTTGGTTTCATAACAACAGTTTTTCACCATCAGTGATGTTTTTGCTCCCAAACTAACTTTGATATTATTTGGTGCTGTTCTTTTTAACATTGTGTCTTTTGGCTTTACCCTTAGGGCATATTGAATGACAGCCATGTCTAAAAGGAAATATTACTTACATCTAAACATCAGACTCGATGTTGTATGTGATCAAGGAAGCAGAGAGTTTGGGCGGGTCAAAGGTTAACTGCATGCTTCATATTTAGTCAGATTCCTAACTGGAGGCTGTCCAGTGCGACCACAGTCTTGCTTAATTCATCTCAATTCAAGAGTATTTTTGTGGGCTCCTGTTTTTCCACATCAAGTTTGTTTCCTTCTGTTTTTTTTGGGATTCAACACACTCACTCCAGCAGCCACTTGTTTACATTTCATTTATCAAGCCGTCCACCACAATCAAAGCACAGCAAGACGATGTTGGCGTTGATGTTAGAACGACCAAAATCATTCTTGAAACACAGTTATGCAACTGCACCATTTCATCTCTGTTATCTCACGTTGTCAACACCACTGTCATGATTCAAGTGGCTAGAGGATTGAACGTCTTGTCAGCAATGTCTTGAATGTTAATTTTTTTTCTGGGATACATTTTCTGCAGGCGGCTTGCTTTCTTTTTATTTTATTCACTCTTTGAACTTAGTTTAAACAGGTTGGTGTCTTGAAATAAAATGTTTGATTAATTCCTAACCAAAATGGCAACATAGTTCACCTTTCTGACTGACACATCACATCATTACCCATCATGACCACAGAAAAAAAGAGCCACAAGTCAAAGATATTCTGTGTAAGAATCATCACAGTCTTTAGTTGCAACTGATTTGCATGAGGATCCATGTCTCAGCTGTGTCAAGGCTTAAAAACCCTCTTTTAACCTTCCCCCGTCCGTTCATTTGCATTTTCTCTTCATTATAACAGTGAATTTAATAAGTTAAATCAATAATAGATCAAAGCTTTGACCTTCCTAGAAACCACAAGAAGAATCCTGATAGTTTCCATAAGATTAAAAAAACATTAGAAATTATTACAGCTCATTAGGTCCATCACATAATGGTTTGTAGTAAGTTTCTGGATTTATCTAATTTCATCATGAGCTGCATTTGTTATACAGGTCTGCAACACCTTGTAGTGGTTTCCATTTAAAGCTGAATATACAAGCTGTTTGTTATTGTTTTTTTAATGGTTTCCCTTATAACATAAACTGGTTTCTTGATTTTTATGTTTTGTCATGGTTTCTAATCATTTCCGTCATTTGTTGCAGTGGTGTCCAGTGTAGTCAGTGAAAGATAGCTAACGGCAGCTTTATCTTATGGTTTGGCTTGCACTGGTTTCTGTGGTGTTTCTAAAGGTTTATGACGGCATGTCATACATAACACTGTAGTCTATGAAGGCTTCTACTGCTGTGTATAATAGTGTCTCATGGTGTGTGATGGTTTCTTATGGCTTCTATTGTTAGATGTCATGGTTATTAATACTCTAGCTTCTTGTGATTTCCATAGCTGTGTGTAATGGTGTCTTTTGCACTGCCTTAATGAAATTCATGCCACATATTCCTCTGTTTGGTTTCCATAAAAGCCTGCATGTATTCATTGGGGACAGGAAATCTGCAACATAGCAAGAAAATCCTGATTACATTGTTGCACAGGCTAATGGTGAGCTTTTCTACAGTTGGTCTACTTCTCTGTTTTTGTTGAATGCGTCTCAACAAGCACAGAGCCAAAAGCCACTCGCCTGGAATTCTCTAATATCCCCTGGAATTTTCAGGAATGCCGTCCTGTCCTACTTATTATCACAGCGAGGAGAGCAGAGGATGTGCTCATGACAGAAGCACTGGTGAAAGTGTGAGCTGGGATTAGTGAGGAGTAAAACCTCCCCCAGCGACTACTGTTGATCAGCTCATGAAGCTAAACTGAAGAGAAGTATTACAGCCTGATTGTGAAACACTACACACTGCACTATCCCCCTGCTTTGCTTGACCCACTGTAACCTCTCATCCTTCGGCTCCTGCAATTTATGTTCTTAAACCTTCATAATGACCCGGTGTCTTTGTGAACTTTGACCTTTTTTATGAACTTGGTTTAA